AGGCACCCTCCTTCCCCACACCCCACCCAGGAAGGGCTCTCTCACTCCTCCTCCCGGCCCTGTTTGCCGAGGCTGGGAGAGGCTTCCACGGGCCGGTCCAGGGCACAGTGACCTCCTGGGCCTGGGGCTGCCACCTGCCTGCCTTCCCCCATTACTGCTCTCTCTGTGGGCGCCACCGCTTCTGGGGTAAATCAAGACACCCTCCTCCCCGACCATCTGGGACGTCTGGGAAGTGGCCCCGACGCCTCTGAGCCTCAGGTTCCCATGGATGGCGTGGGGATAATAAAGCTCAGAGGGTTACACACAGCCACCCAGACAGGCCCACACATGTGGCCAAAAGGTGGGAAAGGCAGCCCTTGGCTCCCACACTGCAGGGCCGCCCCCTCCTCTCTCACTCCCCAGAGGGCCCCCTGCACACACCCTGGACCTGCCCCTGATAACTCACCCCCAGGGAGCAGACCCCCCTCAGGAGGTCTTCCCTGCTGCCCCCAGACTCCTAATCTGCTCAACACTTCAAAAGCCCCCACCGCCTGCCAGGCACTGTTCAAACACCCTAGATATGCTACCTGCATCCTAACCCCAATCCTGGGAGGCGGCTCAAGGATTACCCCAATTTTATAGATGTGGAATCGGAGGCCCAGAGAGGAAAAAGCAGCTCGCCTGAGGTCACCGAGCTAGGAAACGGCTGAACCAGGGAGGCCATCTCCTAAGTCAGTGCCCAAGCCGGGCTGCTGGGCTCTCCCGGAAGTCCTGCTGGCCTCCCCTTTCATTCCAACAAAGCCCCACTCTCCCAGGGCTGACCTGTGCCCTTCTCCCCTCAGCACCCAGGACAGGATGGGCGCCCAGAGGGAGCTCAGCACCATCTGTGCAATGCCCCAATGCGGTGATTGTCATCCTCGGTCCCGAGAGGCCTGTGAGATTGGCCTGGGGCAGAGGTTGTGTCAGGATTGCCCCATCGGGCATGCCTACCCCCATGCACCCTCTGCCACCCCAGCCTGGTTTCCTCAGAGACCCAGAGCGGCTTCCCTGGCAAGGCAGCCAGCTCAGCCCTGTGCCCACTGCCTGGGAACTCACCGGGTTCACAAAGGAAAGCTGGTTGCAGATGGGGGGCATCTCTCCACCACCTCTGTGGTCCCGGCTGCTCCTCACACCAGCCAGGAAGTTCTCTGCACTGGGAAGGACTTTACTATGAAACAAAACAAAGCTATTTGGCAGTTATTCAACGGGGAGGAGCCAGGAGCAAGAGGACATAGATTTAGAGAAAGAGAAAGGGAAAGTGCTGGGAAAGAAGGGGCCAGGATGGGGCTCAGGACTGGTAAGCAGACACTCCAGTGACTTTTCCTTCTCTCTGTATCGTGTTTGGTCGTGTACAGGTTCTCAGA